AGGAATACGTATAGTTCATCTACAGACTGACAAAAAGCTAACTTGAAGGTTACCTGAGAACATCCCTTGTGTTAAAGTATCCTTGCAACAGATGGGAGAGAATAGTGCAGGCTACAGTGATCCTGGAGTTACTGATTTCAGGATCATTGAAGAGGAAAATGAGCTTGGGCACCATTTGCACCTGGTAGGCAACTGCAGCATTCTGACATCCATCTCTGTAAAAAAAGCACAGGGACGATTAAAAGCTTTTACTGGAAAGAACCAAATTTGATGGGTTTCAGCTAAAAGGATTCTCAGGTTGCACTGATACTTTGCACCTTTGGCTTCTAATGTTGCCTTGGCAACATTTCAAACACTGTCAGACAAATTGAATATATGTCAGCAATGGAGATCTGAAGACTTCTTTGTGTGTTCTCTACCCTTCCCATCTGCCCCCTCCCCTGGAAACTGCTGCATTTCAACGAGTTCAAAGAAAACACTATTGAATTTTCAAGGAGTGAGCTGGTGGTAATAAATGCTCTTCTTGTAAAACTCAGCAAGGGACACCAGACAGCTCTTCATAGAGATTTCTGGTACCAAAAAGAAGGAATCTAGCATCCTGGTCTACTCAGCCCCTCTGCCAAACTGTATCTCCTCAGATACTTTTAACTATAGTACAGCCAATTAAGAAAGTATATTGTTATAGAAAAGTCATCCTGGGTTGTGTTTTGGTTTGAAATACAACTTCACTTATTTTTTTATTATTTCATAATTTCCCCTCCTCAGCAGGCATTTAAAATTTCATTGTACAGCAGTGGTTCCACGTGAACCAGGCTGCCAGATAGCTTTTCCCAGTTTGGCCCCACAGTCATCTCAGGGGCTGATCAAATCACTAACTCCAGCCTTGAAAGAATCATAGGAATGATTCACTCCTAGACCCCACTGATTCCAACTAGGAAAGGCCCCTTCATATCCACCTCAAGGTTCCAGCTTCAGGTTACAGATGAGCTTATCCCACATGTTTCCAATTCAAACACTAGCTTGAATACCTGGAGGACTGAAAGATCTCCACAAGATGTGAAAAAAGAGCAAGATCAAGATTTTCTGGTGCTTTCATCCAAAGCTGAAAGACAAAGGAAAACAGAAGTTTTGGTGGTCTGCTAAGCTGAGGGGACAGTAATCTGTGGCAGAGAAACAACTGCAAGTAGTTCAGGGAGGATAATGTCATAAACTCTCAGTCCTTCCTGCAAAGACAGCCTGCAGGCACTGGGATACCCCTGCTGGTGTGAGGAGTTGCTGCTCCTGAGCAAGCCCTGAGGAGCAGACTCCCAGGATCTGCAGGAACACCCCAGAAACTGCACCGGGGCACAATGGGGAGCCATGGTGACACGGAGCGAGCCATAGTGAGGACCTGCTGTTCCAGGACCACCTCCCCAGGTGAGCCACAGTGTGGAAGAATCACCACACCCCACCCCGAATATTGGATCCAGGAGGTGCTATGAACAAGCCAAATCTCATACTATATAGCCACCTTTAACACAGCCAAATCCACAAAATTACATCAACTGTTTTACCTCGAAGTTGCAGAGGACATACTGGAATGCACTACAATTCTTGATGACTGAAGACTCAAAGCCAAGTTCAGCTGTGCCCACTAGGGAGAATATTAACTGTAAAATCCTGTTGTTTAACAGCTGTGTTTTCCTCTTCAATAAATAGGTCAGTAACTGAAAAAAAAGATAAAATAAGTATCTGCTGAGTATAAATCTGTATTTATAAACTAATGTATAACATTATTTTTTAATTCGAAACAAATGCACAGTTTACTTGGCTGCAGTAGTCATGCACGCATACATCTTATACAAGCATCATGAAGAAAGTGAAGATTTCAGTCCAGGCATAAAATTTTGTGCAATAAGTGAAAGGATATGTTTTTGAAGGAGTTTGAGAACCCTGTGGCATTGAACAGGAGCAAAACACATGCCATATTGTGTTGAACGGAATTTACAAAGAGCAACATACAAATATAATTGTTAATAACCACAGTACGTTTTCTACACTGTTCTTCATGGATGTATTCTTAGCTCCTTGCAAATGGTGTTAGTTTAAAAAAATTATTAATGTTGACCTCTTCAAATGAAAGACATTTGTGTGAAACATTGCCAGTTTCTCAACTGAGTCTATCTTTCCTTATTCAATGAATTCCTGATAGAGTAAGAAGATTGTTCAGAAAGCCACTACATTTTGACTAGGTTGGGAGGAATAGACACTCATTTGAAAATACATAAAGACACATTTTTATTAGTCAGCTGTTTAAAGAAAAAAAGGTTCAGACATCCAAACAAAGAGCAAAACCACTCCATTGTAACATGATGATCAGTCACGTGGGAAGAACACTATGTAGCACAAAGTCAAAAGGAACAGTTTGTACACAATCTGAAGGCTGGCATTCACCTACAAGAAACGATTGGGCAAGCAATATCTTAATATGATAAATATGAATTAAGATCTATTTGTGAACATTTCAAAAATGGAGAAAATGGAAAATTTATAATAGATCATACATGAAGCCCTGTTAGGTGTCTTGTTTGGAAACATCTCTGTTAAAGAGTTTTCTCTATTCCGTAAGACTCTGCTTAGCCTAAGCAGCGTAAAGTAAACAAAACTAAA